GTTTCGTTCGTATTGCCTCCTTCAAAAGCAATAATTATATTTACCTATAGCAGATTCGGATGTATTAGGCGATTCCTTTCTTTTATTAAAAGATTGTTTAACTTGTCCCGAATTCCGCGACTTTTTACAACCCCATCTTATGCCATAGCACGTACGCACCATTGTAATATAAAGGGTATGCAAACACTTATGCACAAATATTCGATCTGTAACTTGTGACTACCGGGTTGTTTTCTACATGATATTCCGCATTATTTTGCATGTTACAGATTACCCGATCGCAATGTAACTAAAATATAAAGCTCTGAAAACGGAGGTTGCTCACGCGAACATCGTAGATGTCCTGCAAAATATCGATAAAACAGATGGATTTGAACTACATTTTCGCACGGAAAGCTCTAGCCAGATATTCGATCGAGGAATAACGCAGGATGGGTAGAGTCAAGGTACACGAACACGAACTTCTGATTTAGATGGATTATTACTCCAGTCGAATTAGATAAAAAACCTGAAATCTTGAAAAAATTGTTAGTAGACATTTTACTGCACTCTATGACGGGGTAGGATATATAAATAATACCAAAAAAAGTAACTCGAATCAAGTGACGCTAAGTTGACAAATTGCAAATAAGCGGCAAATTTACGTGTTTTTTCACTTTTTTCACTCCCTACGAAAATCTAGACCACTATCGGAAAATTAGACATTTTATGTTGTAGGCAATTATTACCTACAATTTACGGTACCTAAGGTACCTAGAGTCATTTTTCACTAATTTGTTAACTGTAAAATAAAGGTTCAACGAGGAAATATCAGTTTTCGAAAATTGCATATTATTATTGCAAAAAGCGATGGCTGTTGATGAAATTTATGGAAAGACGGTCAATCCAATGATCAACAAGTATGCCAAACGCCGATCCAATAGAAAGTGAAATTAATTAATTTCGTTTGTTTTTTGCAACTAGTTGTTGAATTACTAAACGTTAATTTTAGACGTTAATATCGCAGACATAGGTTCTAATTGATCCAAAGAAACGTATCGAAAGAGAAAAATTTTAAAAAGTTAAAATTAAGTTGCCCTACAACTAACAAAGTAGGACGAGCAAAACAGCGTTATAAACAACTTATCCCAAGGTCAGGCAAAAACCGCTCGGGAATTCGCTCTTTTTGCATTAAATAAAGCTTATTTTTACGGTAACTAAAAAAAGAGAGAAATCACCTACGCCTCTTTGTTCCACAGATAACTTTTTTTATAATGTTGATTGTTAATTAACTGTTGGACGTATCGAACTGATAACTTCTACTGTTGTTAACGCGTTTATTACATGAACCATCAATGTAAAATTTTCTGAAGATAAAAGTTGAACTCTTTCTTTGTCTCTAAAATCCCGGCCCGATACGTCCAACAGTTAATTAACAATTAACGTGATAGAGAAAAGCTATCTTGGGAACAAAGGCGTCGGTAATTGCTATTTTTTTATTACTCTAAAAATAAGCTCTATTTAATGCAAAAATAGCGAATTCCAGAGCGGCTTTTGCCTGGCCCTGGAACAATTTTTTTGTAACTCTATTTTGCACGGCTTACTTTGTTAGTTGTAAAGGGTTACTTAAAGGGTTGAAATTTAAGCTTTAGTTTTAGCTCTACAAACTAGAGCTTATGTTCAACATCGATTGTGTAGTGGATAATATGAGCAATTTTGAGAAAGTACAAATAGCTGAGGGGAGGAAGTTAAACCAGTTTTGCAGAAGTAAAAGTGAGAGAAGTGTATTAGAACTTTACGTTCTCTGATCGGTGGAATAGAACTCTCCACCCTTTGATTAGCTCGCTGAAGCAAAAGTAGGAGGGGCTACAGAAACAAGATAGTGAGGATTAGAACTCTCCAACTTACCCTATTTACAATACAATGAATTTAAATACTCATTGCCTCGCGTTAAACAAGAAGTATCCATATATTGTAAATGGTACACGTCAACATAAGGATTTTAGGCTGTTTGATTGTTTTATATCCCGAGATAAATTGGAGTTTCTTTTTAAAAAACATATAGGTATTATATTATTAGTTCTCGTATTTTTTTACTCTATTTTAAAGGTATTAAGCTTAATACTTAGTAATAGAATAGTTGCGCGGTGAACGTCTTTTAAAAAACATTGCCATCGTTGACCGCGAACATCAACCTCGTATGTACCGTACAACGTATAGCATAAGCAAATGATGCGGATTGAAATAAGTTTGTATTTCGCTTCACCACAGAATATCGGCTTCACTTCGTAGCGTTGTTTACGGCGGTTGTCATGACAACGAGGCGGCTAACATGTGAATAAACTACGACGTGGGGGAACAAGTGATGCTGAAATTGAAACAGCATCGCCATCGCCCATCGCCTATCTTTACACCCTAGATAAATGATATTGCTTTACACTTTACTTTAAACAGTTAAATACGTCGCCCAGTGCACGATTATAACGGTTCTTTGTTAATATTTGTTTTGTATCAATAATTGTAGAAATGTTTCCTATGTGTGATCCAGTATGTATTTTATTGGAAACGCCATTTTCCAGATGGAAAATTGAGGACAAAAAGAATTTTTTTTTCTCTCGATGTTGAAAAAAGACAGTGTACGTTCGTAAGTTTCGGAATGAATGGTATTCGGAGTATAAGTGGTTGTGGTGGAAGTGTTTATTTAAAAATACTTTTCTGTATGCCGTGTTTAATTGTGTTTCTATTATTATATAAAATCTAAATGAAATTCCTTCTCGCGAACGTCAGTTTTTCGGTACCTAATATTGCAGTTGCAACTAAAAAATTTCAGATTCATTTAAAGCCGTTTGACCTCGATTTTTTTTTTTTCTTATCAATCAATGAATATGCATAGATGAATATGCTTCACCTATTCTGAATGTCACGAGCCACTGATACGAGGTGTCCCTGAAATGACTGGAACAAAGTTCAAATACCTATATTATTTCAGAGCATATTTACAGTTAAAGAAATTTTAACGTCCTATGTACCTATCTCGACAACGTTTAAACATAGTATTAGGTTTGCTCCTAGTGCATTAGAAACTGTTTCCAACGGTCTTATACAGAGTCTTCATAAATGTTTACAAGCCAGGTGGCCGCTGAGCTTAGGCAACCAGCAATGCACAGTTGGTACTGCCAACTGAAAATCCCTAAATCTTAACGGTAATCCACCCAGTGAAAAAAAGTTTAAAAGGAAAATTTAATAGATTTAGAGAAATTTATCGAATTAAATAATTGAGGTAGGGAAAAAATATGTCACCAATATTAATGATTCGTTCATAAAAAATAATGACAAACTGTTACATCTACACTCGAGATCACTGATTGGTGGAATAGAACCTCCGTGAAAAATTACACCAATCACCAGCCGGTGAAACAGAATGTTGCGTTTTAATGCAGTCTTGATTCCTAGTGCTTTAATTTTACCGAAATTTAGTTGCCAACGTGAAGGAAATAAAATTACTGTTCCAAACAAAATTACTGGTTACGTGGCTTGTAATCATTTATGAAGACTCTGTATAAGCATTATATTAGATAGCGCTAGCGTCTGATCTGACAGTTGAAAACTGTTTTGAATTACTCTAGAAATAAAGCTATTCACAGTGCATGAATTCACGAAGAACGGAAAGCGCAGATTACACGTGTATATTGACATGCTGTAAGGAAGTGAATTGGAGATATGTAAAAAAATTGTTATCAGCTGTAATCATTCAATGTACCTTCTGATTTATATTATATAATTTTGATATTTTAAGCGTTACTGACTAACAATTGAACTTTGAAGAAATCCATCAATAGGCCAGAAAAATAAGCTGGGGAATGACCATTTCGGGACTTTTTGTTTCGGCAAGCTGAATTTATCACTATAGATGCTAAGTATTATATAGGGTCGGAAAGTCCTCATGGTTCATCGGCCGTTACGTGAGAGCGATAAAGTAAGTCATAGAAATCAGTGCGATAGAGAGATTGCTATAATGAAGGCGTCTAATAGTCACCGCCCATTTCGCCCTTCCACAAATAGGAAGTGGATCTTATTTGTGGAAGGGCGGAATGGGCGGTGACTATTAGACGCTTTCATTATAGCCATCTTTCTCTATCGCACGGATTTCTATGACTTTCTTTATCGCTCTCACGTAACGGCCGATGAACCATGGGGACTTCCGACCCTGTATGTAGAATAACATATTAGTTTCCACAGACATAAAAATGGGGGAAAGATTGTTTACAGAGTAGTTACTTGTATAATTTTTTCGTAAATTCACGTTTTTTGCTTATAACTTTTTTCCGTTCATTTCCAAGAGAAAACAGTAACGTACTTTTTTTTTCCTCTTCAAAAGACCTACAAAACTAGCCCTCCAGGGTAAAAAAATATTGATTAGATCAAAAGCTATAAACAGAAGTTTATTTATGACTTTTGAATTAAACATTTATATAAACTGCGTTATTATTACCAGAACGTTTTGGCATCGCATCCTCTTATTCCTTATCACTGTCTAATAACTGTTAATTTGTTTATAAGGCCATAATTTGTAAACTATTAAACTTATCGATTCCAGATTTCGTGTGTAGGAATGAGAAGATGCGATGCCAAAACGTTCTGGTAATAATAACGCAGTTTATAAATGTTTAATTCAAAAGTCATAAATAAACTTCTTCTGCTTATAACTTTTAATCTAATCAATATTTTTTGACGCTCGAGGGCTAGTTTTTGTAGGTCTTTTGAAGACGAAAAAAAGTACGTTACTGTTTTCTCATGGAAATGAACGGAAAAAAGTTATAAGCGAAAAACGTGAATTTACAATTATACAATTAACCACCCTGTAAACAATCTTCCCCCCATTTTTATGTCTGTGGAAATTAATGTTATTGTACATAATATTTAGCATTGATAGTGATAAATTCGGCATGCCGAAACAAAAAGGCGCGTCCAACTCTATATTTCCTGGACTACAAAAGCAGAAGAAGAAGAAGAAGAAATTAACCTATCAATTATAACCCGCCTTTCTAAAGTTAAAACAGTTGTTGCGGCATTTTTATGTTTTGTAAATTGTTGTGATTGTGTTTTATTCGGTTGTATTTATATTAATTTTAATATCCACGGCATTTTTGTAAAATATAAAAATATATATATATTGTGACTCTGTAATCTGTATACATAAAGAGTATTTAAACAATGTCAGATTTTTCTGAACTTCTACAAGAAGCTGAGAAGCTTACAAGTGATTTGGAGGGTACAACTGAACTTCCAAAAGTTGAACGATCATTAAAACAAGTTTTAGAAGCCTCAAATGATTTATATTCAAGAGTTGCTCAAACAGGCGCAAAAGACATACAAGCGTAAGTGCGAAACTAATATATATTATAACTACAATAAATGAGTATGGTATTGTTTTTCAGAAATTTGTTATTGGGTTCAAAAGGAATTGACCTACCTAAAATTGTTCAAAAATTGGAATCTATAAGCACTAAAAGAACATTTGAACCAATACAACCTGTAGAAGATTTAGATATATCAAGTAAACTTGAAAATGAAGTCCGTAACAAAATTTTGGCAGCATTTGATTCAGGATATAATGAGGTATTATATGTATACCTAACACTAGTACTCTCATTCGTATGTTGAAATCAATCATCAATATACATTCATTTTTTTATTACAGATGTTAGAATCTGTATATGAGAATTCGTGGGAACATCAAGAGGCTGAATGGAAGCAACAAAAGCGCAAGGTTCTTACTGCAATGGGAGGATTCTCAGGAGCTTGTGTGGAAATTGGAAAACATGTCGGCATATTAATTGATAAACCTGCTCCTGCTTTAGCTAACTTGGGTCCTATTGAAACTATATATGTTTCGAAAATTATAGAATATAATAATATTTTTGGAAGAGGTCCACACAAATTAAATCTCGTCAATGTATTTTCTAATTTAGCCAATGAATTTAAAGATGCTGTAAGTAGTAATTTTGTAGATAAACTAACTTCATTAGAATATTTTGTGATTTTTAGAAAATTAAAGACATGTGGGAGATAGTAAAGTATATGGTACAGTTGCCACCATTCCCACAGTCCGAAGATATAATTAAAACACGAACATCTAAAAATTTCATAGAAGCGCTTGTTTCTCAAGGAAAAAAATACTTAGAAGATAGGTAGTCAAACCTAAATCACTAAAATTTTGATGATTAATGTTTCAACAATTTTAGGTATAAAACATATATGACAAACATCATAAATGAAAATTTGTCACAAGCCTTACGTGGTGGTATACCAGGCACCTACTCTCTAGTACGCAGCTTTGTTGGATTGAGACTTCAAGGCGAATATTTAGGCTTACAAGATGGAACAATAGATGACAGACCTTTGTGGCCCATGGTCTATTATTGTTTGAGATCAGGTGACCTATCTGCAGCCATTTATTGCCTCAGAAAAAGTTGCCTTCCTGAATTCCAAGAACTAATCTCAATTCTCGAGACTAAACTAAACAACCCAGCAAGTCCGGAAATTACAAAGTTAGAGGATAACATTAGGTTTTCATACAGAAGGGTTGTCAGAAATGATACTGATCCTTTTAAGAGAATCATTTGGGCTGTTCTCGGTTGCTGTGATGTATCTGACGAACACAGTGAGGTAGCCAGAACCGCTGATGATTACCTTTGGTTGAAATTGAGTCTCGTCAGGGTTGATTATAATAAGGATGATTATGTTAAGTATGAAGATCTACAGGTAAGTTGTTAGGAAGGAATATTATTTCATTAGTATAATGCAATGCTCCAATGGAAAATTATGAATTTTACAAATATCTAAGATTGAATCACAACAACCAGTTGTATTATGCCATTACAAGATCTTCAGCAGCAGTATAAAAAGGAATTATGTCTGCCTGCTCGAGTAAAAATTTTACTCGAAAAATCTGTTTAAACCATTAATACTGGCTCGCAAAACTAGGAATAAGGAGGTGAATTTTATACAATTAACATACCTTGCTTTAGATCCGAAGGAGGCAGATCCTAAAGTAAAATAATATTTTGGAAATTTTTATTTAAGTCTCGGAACACATATTTACACCCCACATTCTGTGATCTCATTGGCCAGGGGTGTGACCGACGGTCAATTCCTCACATTCCCTATTTGATGCAAATTTTTTGGCAGCCACTATATAATTTTTATAATCATACTTTGGTGAATATTTACGTGGGAGATAATGATTGAAAAATGGAAACTGAGATAGAGCTTATAATTTTGCAATCTGGAAAAAATTTTAAATCTAGTTCTACAACGAGGAATTTTTAGACCAAAACATGTTCTGATTTTGGCAAGTAAGACAGTTCACCTTGTATTTAATTGATACTGTGTTGAGCAAATCAAAATCTGATAAATAGTAATGTTGGTAATACTATTGGTAATAATTAATTATTACTAATAAAAATTAAGTCAAGACTAGTGAAAAAGGTCAATTGACTGACTTTGAGCCAAAGTGGCAGATTGATGACAATTTTGTTAGGTTTTCTTATTTTTTATCTATGAAAAATATAAATTATATAAATATAAAATAGCAACTGCTGCAGTTTCTCAATTTATTCTAGGAAGTAAATAAGAAACATTCAAGAAATCTGGTATTAATGGCAGAATCTAATTTTAACGAAAATGTCAATTTATTTTAACTCGTTCTTTGCCATAATGACGGATTTGAACACATGAACGTTTGTTTCGTTTAAAATAGTTTTAATTGAATAAATCTAGACAGTTTTTTCTGTTAACTTAAATATATGGTGTGCCAAGCGGGTCAACTAAAATTCGTCCCTATTATCATGTAGAGGCGTATGTGTATATCCATTTCTTGGATTATACGCTCCTACGTGATAAGAGGCGTGAGCGACTGCCTCCAAATGTTTTTTACGTTCACGTCACGTTAGTATACTATTGCTTCGTAATCGTGCGCATGTTGTGTAATTAATTTCTATCCATTGGTGTTTATGATGGTGTATTGCAGACAATTTAATTTGTTTCTTTTTAATAATGCGTATGCCTACGTCCCGCAGCTCAGTTCTGACAGCTCTAATAATCAAGAGGTTTTTCAGTTGATAATTAAAAACTTTAAGAACCACTTTTGGTACAGGGACATTACTGTTTTTTATTGAATTTATTAAAGGAATGCCTTATTATCTTTGTCACTGATTGCTTATACTTGACATTATCACTTATTAAACCGATAAAGGAATGATGTCTCTCAAATTTAATTTTAATATTTGTTTTAATATGGAAAATATAAGTAATAGTAGATCGAGTTTCTTTAAATGTATAAATTTATGTCTCGTGGTAAGAGCATTTTTTTGCCCCATATTTATTTTCATAATGTAACTCTTTGTGTATAACTCAAGAAGAAAGGAACAGTATGACTATATTTTTGACTTTCTGATTTATAAAAATTAATAATATATATTGTAATATGAATTATTGAATAAATTAATGAAGTAGATGAAATATTAACGCTACTTACAATTATTGTTTTTTTAGTACATAATATTAGAAGAATATGGCGAGACTCATTATGATGCATTTAACCAACCCCACTTGTATTTTCAAGTATTAACATTAACAGGTCAGTTTGAAGCAGCTATTGAATTTCTCTCACGAATCGAAAAATTCAGAGTACATGCTGTTCACATGGCTATTGCACTTAACGAGTTATATATGTTGGCTGGCCCACAAGATACTAGTTCTCCACTTAGTAAGTACAATTTTTTTTCATACAGTGTTAGAGTAGAACTGGTAAATTTTAGAATGTTACACAAAAATATTCATATTAAGATGTGTGCAATTCTCAATGGTAAGTGGGAAAACACCATGTATATATAAATACGAAGGTTGCCTTTTATTTTTCGGGAATGGATGGTCCTGATGCTGCCATCTGACAACCAATGTTCCAATGTAAAGATCGACTTTTTGTCAGTATACTTGCTCAGAACGTTTTGATGTACAGGTGCTATTTGTGTTATTTACAGTGATTTGAAAAATTCATCTTGTCCAAAAAGTTGTGAAAATTTCCGTGTGATTATTTTTTACAACTGTCGACTTAGATTATCTTAACAACAGTGCATCAGGGAACTTATTTTGGCAATGAATTATCAAAAACCACTATGTATCAATGGTATATGGAATTCAGTCAAGGCCGTGGTTCGCTCACTTACGAATTTCGTGAAAGTTGTCCAAAATGGGAGGTACCTCAATCGAAATGCAAAAATTCGAAAATTGGTTCTAGCACATGCAAAAGTGTATTGATTTTCTTGAAGAATGGACAGTAAAGTCATATTATGATTCATTTCTTTTTTTGTTTCCTATTCCCAAAATATAAAAGCCAACCCTTATACCTCTTTCTGCAGCAAATATTTTGAGAATCTTTATTTATCATTTTATTATTATTATTATTAACTTTAATATAAGACATTTTTCTTGTTAACTAGTCAAGAAACATAAATATCGTATGTATTGTAAATATAATTATATTTATTTTCCTCGTTATAGATTCTATACTTTATATTAATTCAATTATTATAAAAAAAAAATGCAAAATTTGCATGTTAATTAATTTTGCCTACATTTGTGATTAAACATTTTATGTGATCATATACAAAACTTTTTAACATTCCTTATTTTTCTTTAACATTAATTTGGTTTTCTAGTATGTATTGACCCGATGGATCCTAAACCGGCCCGACGTCTAAACCTGGCACGTCTCATAATGCTTTACGTGCGCAAATTTGAACTGATATGCATCAACGAAGCCTTACACTATTTCTTTTTATTGAGAAATTACAACGATGCCGAGGGCCAAAGTTTGTTCAAAGTATGCGTCTCTGATCTGGCCATTGAAACTAAGGTATATGAAAAAATATTGGGAACTATCCAAAGAAATGGTATTAGATCCAAAGGGCTGCTAGATCAGTTCACAAATGCGAACATTACTGTTGAAGGGGTGGCTCAAATGATTGCAGGGAATTTAGAAAAGAAGGGTTTGTTCGAGGAAGCAATCGAGTTGTACGATATAGCAAATGTAAGGTAGGAACGATGTCATAAATAGTTTTTTTATTAAAAACCTTTTTAGATGCAAGAAGATGTGCTGAGACTTATGTGTGGAATGTTGTCGAGAGTAGCTCATTTAGAAAGTGAACCGGATTCCCTTAGAATTCGTTTACAGGAAAAAGCTGTTCTCTTTGGAGAGCGTTATTCTAGAGAAGGCTACAAAACCTCTTCCAGTATGGTCAACTCATTTATTAAACTAAAGGATCTCCTTACATTTTTCGATCAATATCACGCAAAACAATATGCGCATGCAATGAAGGTATTCATAGTTATTAGTAAGTTTGGCATAATTTCACATCTTCAAACATTTAGTAGGTGACCCAATATTACTTTTTTTATCTAAATTAGATCAGGAATTATATCAAAAGAACCACTTTGTCAATGTTTCGTCATTTTTATTTCAACATCCTCAGGACTATGTGATAAGTTTTAAAAGTAAAAAAATTATAATAGATCCGTTTCCTTTGGTGATATTTCTTATAAGAGATTGCATAAAGTAAACAAATGTCAGTAATTGCAAAATTAATTCTCTTCTTTTTCAAGTGCCATGGAATCCCGCAAAATAATAAAAGATGCGAAATTGTATAGGGTGACTCCTCTGTAATAGAGACAGAATCATAGAAAAGGTAGCAATTAAGGATAGGATTCTGCAATTCTGTAATTGTCTTATCCTGCGGTATAGATGGCACTGTAAAAAACAGTTAAAACAGTTTAAGTGTAAAACCATAGTGCACTAGATTTAATCATATGTGCCAATGGAAAAACTTTACTATTGACAAATCGTAAGCTGAAAATTCTTAGAATCAATTGAGCATTTGTCTTTAATGATATTACAGAAACGTAGCGCTAATATATAAAGGTCATCATATACTACTCATACTAACGTCATCATACACGACTGGAAAAAATTTTAGGGGAACAAAAATATCATAAATTTTGTAGTGATTTTTGACAGGCTATATCTCACTGAAGAATCGAGATAAAAAAGCAGTTTGAAGCTTAAATTCTCTAGTTTCAAGATCTTTTGACAAAAAAATTTTTAAGCTCCGATTATTACTCAATCATGGAACTAGCGCGAGACAAAAATTTTCCTTTTTTTTTTTTGTTTATTTTTTTTCACTTTGACTAATGTACAGTTAACTTGATTATTCAGCTCTAGTTTAGTTTTTTTTTTTGGTCTCTGCACGTCAATTTTTAAGATATCCAGTTTTGAATGAATCATTAACCATTAATATCTCAGTAACTAATGACTACACAGTAAATTTTCGGGCAGTTTTGAAACCTGTAATAAAAGCTCTACATGAACCTGTTCCAAATATTATAGAAAATATTAATGTTGAGAAAAATTTTTACAATTCAATGTAGCCACAAACAAATTTTTTTGCCTTTTGAAACTTTATACATAAAATCCTGAAGATGATGTAATAAAAATGACAAATTGTTGACTGTGTAAAAAAAATAAATCATCCACCGTTTTAGATACTCAATGAACTGCAAATTGTTCCTTTAAGAAGTGAAGATCTCGATGACAGGGTAAAAAATTTCAAAAGTCTAAATGCAGATGTGTGTAAAGTGATGCCAGATATTTTGTTAGCTACAATGAATATGTTATTTGCGCAGTACCAAAAAATTAAGGGAAATAACGAGTATATTCCCAGATACCAAGATGGATCAATGGAAATGGTAATATTTTTCACTTTCCTTCCTCAGGGTCGCGTCAAAGGAGGAGGGCCCCTAAGGCCGGTTTTTGGTCTAATTTATTTTTGGCTGAAAAAATCTGAAAAACAGTTTTTTTAGTACCTACTAGCAATACTGAATCGTTTCCACCCAAAACGGACCAACTCCCTTAAACGAGATGACACACATTTACATTGAATAAAACGAAAAAGAAAAAATCAAATTACATATACATACGTGTTTGTGCATATTTGATTAGCCACTTTGAATTTCGTGATTCTGAATTCATAATTGTAATCAGTGATCCAAGAAAGTTTCTATAAACAAATATTTGAGGACTATGAAGATCTTTTTAATTTTTTTGTCGGCCGATGGAATACATTGTTCTGCCTTCAGATTCGTAATCAGAGACCCGCAAAACTCCACTACACAAAAATTCATGCATTTTAAAGACATTTTCATTTTTTTGTCCGCCATATTGAATTCGCCATTTTGAATTTCGTGATTTAGAGTCCTGATTTGTAATCAAATACCCAAAAAACCCCATTACAAAAAAATTCATGCATTTTAAAGACATTTCAATTTTCTTGTCCGCCATATTGGATCCGCCATTTTGAATTTCGTGATTTTGAGACCAGATTCGTGATCAGCGACCCAAAAAACTCTTCATACGTAAGATTCATAGAAATTGAATGTCTTTCGCATCTCTAAGCTCTTTAAAGATTCCTCTAATAAGCGATGGTTTCCCCGGCATTTAAGGAGGTGGAGGGGACAAGGAGGGTGAGGGGATTGGTCCTTTTAGGGTGGAAACGATTCAGTATTAGTACTAAAATAATTTTTCAGATTTTTTTCAGCCAAAAATAAATTAGGTCAAAAACCGGCATAAAAGAGCCCCTAAGGTCTCCTTTGACTGAAATATTTAGTGTTTCAAAAAAAAATTATATATTTTTATTTATTTTCAGCAATTGAAACATTTAAGGGAACAAGCTAAATGTATAACAAATTTTACTGGAATGTTACCATATAGGATGCCAGGGGATACAAATAGTAGATTGGTTCAAATGGAAATATTAATGCATTAGTCTATAGTTTCATCTTTTGTATTATAATAATTGTTTGTAATAAAATTTGTAATCATAATTTGCTTAATTTCAGTTTTTAAAATTCCTAACTAATTAATGAATACATGAATGATACAAAATTAGTTAAACCACTAAAGTTATTTTTTTAAAGATCTGACAGACTGAATGGTAAGGCATTTCCTAAGAATGTGCAAAAAATCCAGGGACATATTCCTATGGTTAAAATTATGGTAATTTGGTTAAATAAACGTAACTAAGGCTGCTTGCCATCTTTTAGCTACATAGTTTCCAAAATTAAAAGAAAAAGGTTATATACGGGGTGGGCCATTAGTGTGAGGAAGTACAATAACTCCCTTGTTACTTATAATACAGAAAAAAAATTGTACAGAATCAAGAAACCTAAACTACAAAATTAATTTGAAACATACAAGTCGATGAGCAAAAACGGGACACGCCAAATATAACATTTATTAAATGGAACACCCTGTATATTTTTAAACAGTTTTATTTCTCGGAAAATTCTATACAGTATGTCCACGGATTGAGTTTACAAAAGGACAAATGGACCAAATAGTGAAAGATACGAAAAAAAGGCATTCTTGATAAAAGTTTTTGCTTGTTTAGAAAATATGAATCACAATGACAAACTTCAATTTTGTTGTACAGGGTGGATCAAAAACATAAAAATGCTGTTTTGCATAAGAGTAAACATACCTTATTTTGCAAGATATGAAAAAAGGCATTCTTGATCTAAGTTTTTGCTTATTTATAAAATAGGAATTGCCATGACGAACTTGAATTTTGTTGTACAGGGTGGGTCAAAAACACAAAAATGTTATTTTGCATAAGAGTAAACATAGTTTATTTTGCAAGATACGAAAAAAAGGCATTCTTGATAAAAGTTCAAAAATAAACAAGTCACATTATCAAAAATTTAGTGTTTTATACAGGGAACAAAGTACCTACAAAACTAAAATACATCTTATTCAAGTGTAATTTTTAAATAATACGAACATAATTACAACAACAATTAAGCTAAAAAAGTAAACAAAGTGATATGATGAAGATATCTTTCAAAAACACCACCCCCATATTAAACACAAGGGTGAAGGTGGACAAACGGTAGTGTTAAAAAAAAAATCCCTACCCGGTAGGTGGGGGGTTAACGTTTAACTGATTTGGCGGCAGAAATCGTGAAGCAACATGTTCTGTTTCTCTTGGAACGCGGTGTGGGTATGAAGGACGGAAGTAAGTGAGTCTGTGATTTACGAAAGTATTGTATGAAATTTTGACATTTTCATAAACTTGTTCTTATAACTACTATAGCTACGATGTGACTGGCGCAATATCAACCTTTTTGTCCGAGGAGTTGCACTATTGTTTGAGTATTAGTCATGGAAATATTCAATTATATTTTTGTAAAAATAGTGGAGTGGGGGATTTTTTTACGCTGTTGTGTTATTCCAGGGTGAAGTTGGACACCCAAAAAATGCCCCGAAAATATCGACCACTTGGCATAAAGCCGAATTGTACTTACCCCACCAGAAATTTGGAAATTGCAGTAAAAGGAGTGAATAATAAGATTTTAAGTGTCGGATTTGCAGGTGAAAAGTGGAATGTTCCATAATCAACACTTCACAACCACGTTAAAGGAATTATAATAGTTTTAAATAAGTTTTTAAATAATGTTAAATATTTTTTATTATATTTTTATAAGAAATTTAAATTTTATTAATGATAGTTTTAATAAAGGTTTAATACACATTTTCAAACTATAAATTTATTTTAGAGTAAAACTGAAATAATTCCTTTTTAAAAAACAATTTTTATGTCCAACTCGGGCAATAGACCGTTCCGTAGCTGGATTTCCATTGATTTAAAGCTATGTCCTTCACCTCTTTCTGCCAGGTGAAGTTGGACAAATGTTATCAAAAAATATATAAAAAACTAAAAACAAAATACAAATTTTAATTATGCCACGCAATAGAATACACCTTGACCTACCTACATGATTTTTTTCAGAATTTTTGATGTATCAGACCCAGAAATAGACTAAAATAATCGAAAAATTTGTCCAACATCACCCCCATTGACGGTATATCTCGAGGAATTTCTGATTTCTTAATAAATAACATTTTTGTGTTTTTGACTCACCCTATAAAACAAAATTGAAGTACATCATGGTCATATTTTCTAAACAAGCAAAAACGTTTATAAAGAAATGCCCTTATTTTGTATCTTGTTAAATAAAGTGTTTACTCTTACGCAAAATAACATTTTTGTGTTTTTGACCCACCCTGTACAACAAATTGAAGTTCTTCATGGTGATTCGTATTTTCTAATCAAGTAAAAACTTTTATCAAGAATGCCTTTTTCTCGTATCTTTCACTTTTTGGTCCATTTGTCCTCTTGTAAACTCAATCCGTGGACATACTGTACATGGCAATATAAACAGTTTAACATTTTAACGCGGGATTGCCATGTGGAAAATTCTTGGAATATTATGTGGATGTTGTATTAACTTTCAACTATTAACACTTGGAGCAAAAATATTTGACAGAGTTATAGGAAAATGTTAAGCAAAGACTCCTGTTAGCTAATATCGAAATTTTATACAGGTAATTTTCTATAAGACGATAATTTTTAGAAAGTTCAAATTTGATTTTCTAAAATTTTTCAAATGGGACACCTTGTATTTTATTCTATTTTATTCGCATATCACTCCACTTCAACTTTTATTAAGCATGTTCTACAGGGTGTAACGAAATTTGCGGATATGGACTGTGGGATCATAACAAGCTAAATAAAGTGATAAAAAAATGTCTTTATTGTTTTTCAATCAGACCAGTATTTTTTGAGATATAGCAGTATTAAATAGACAAAAATAATTAAAATATACAGTGTGTTGCATCACAAGAGGGACATGGCTTGATGGGAGATAGAGGACATCTAGTGTAACTAGGATCGCCTATAGAAATAACTTCTTGGCCATTCTTTATTAAGATACAGGGTGATTTAAGATTTTTGGTCAAAACTGCTTTATGTCATAACTTTGGTAGGGAATGGAATAATGGGTTCATATTTGGTAGGGTTAATGCACTCACGATACTTCATGTATGCATGTATGACAGCAACAAAATCCAGGTCCGGACTGCAACAAATTGTAAATTTTTTGTGCAAGTCTAGAAAACAACACTCTGTATGTATTTTTTTGAAATTCCCTTACGATATTCGGAAAGAGCATAAAAAAGTGATTTTAAAGACATGTTTCTTTTTTTTGTTACACTTTGGTGGTTATTTAAATAAGCTATTGAATATACGAGACTACGGCTTCTAAAACTAAATTATGTGAAGGACACATGATAAAAATGGTTTTGCAACTAAAATTAGCGAAGGCTTAATTGAGGGTAGATGTTATAAATAAGCATGCATATTTAATACATAAATATACATAAACCTCATTTTCTTTAAATAATATGTATTCCAGGTCCGGACTGCAAAATTTTTAATTTTTTTTGTAACTCTAGAAAACATCGCCCCGTATGTATTTTTTTAGTATTCCCATACGATTATCGAAAAGAACATAAAAAAGTAATGTAATCTCAGCGACATGTTTCTTTTTCTTGTTACACTTTGATGATTACTTAAATATACGAGTAAGAAACACATGACATGAGTAAGTAAAAGATACATGATAAAAATAGTAGTTTATTTCTTTTAGTAAATAGGATTTCTAAAAAATAGAAATAAAAAAGCAAATGGGAACAATGACTATTTAATAAAACACGGAAAACAAATAACAATAAAACACAAAGAAAATAATAGGTGTCTAAATGTACTTTACAATGGCAAATTAATTGTATAGCAAATTTTCAAAGTGGCCTCCTCAACTTCGATACATTTTCATACTCGTTTAACCAAGTTTCCAATTGCTCGACGTATCGATGGCAATCGAAATCGACGGATTATAATTTATTTTTTGTCCTGTTTTTATCACGCGATTTTAAATAATCATCAAAGTGTAACAAGAAAAAGAGACATGTCGCTGAGATTACTTTTTGATGTTCTTTTCGATAATCGTATGGGAATACCAAAAAAATATATACAGGGCGATGTTTTCTATAGTTACAAAAAAAATTAAAAATTTTGCAGTCCGGACCTGGAATACATATTATTTAAAGAAAATGAGGTTTATGTATATTTATGTATTAAATATGCATGCTTATTTATAACATCTACCCTCAATTAAGCATTTGCTAATTTTAGTTGCAAAACCATTTTTATCATGTGTCCTTTACGTAATTTAGTTTTAGAAGCCGCAGTCTCGTATATTCAAGAGCTTATTTAAATAACCACCAAAGTGTAACAAAAAAAAAGAAACATGTCTTTAAGATCACTTTTTTATGTACTTTCCGAATATCGTATCGGAATTTCAAAAAAATATATACAGAGTGTTGTTTTCTATACTTGCAAAAATCATAAATCACCCTGTATCTCAATAAAGAATGGCCAAAAAGTTATTTCTATAGGCGATCCTAGTTACCCTAGATGACCTCTATCTCCCATTAAGCCATGTCCCTCTGTGTGTGATACAACACCCTGTATATCTATAAATATCAATTTTCAATCACTAGATAAACAATTACAACAAACGAGTTACAACAATTGTTCAAATTTTCACCGTCTTCTGTTAAACATGCTTCAACACTGTGCTACTACTTGAATGGAGTTGCGTATCATCTCTGGTGTTATTTGCTGTACTGATTGAAATAGGCAGTTCTGCAATTCATTCAAATTTGCCACTGGTGGCAATGTTTTTAGGAAGCCCCAAGAGAAAAAATCACATGGAATTAGGTCTGGAGAACAAAGTGGTCAAGCAAATGGACTGCCTCTGCCAAGCCAACATCCAGAGAAAGTATTATTTAGGTAATTACATACAATTAATGTGAAATGGGCACCTGCACCATCGTGCATAAAAATCATATAATAAATTAACAAAATAGATACGAAAATCAATCAAATATTTAATTTTACAACAAGTGTTCAAAATGACGGCCGTTTTGGTTTAGACATAGCTCTACATGTCATTTAAATGTGGTGTTAACATTATCCAGAATATCAATGTTGATATTTTAAAAAACTCGACGAATTCGGTTTTTCATATCCTCTTTGGTAGTAAGGGGAGTTTGATATACCCGATCTTTTACATATTGAGGGTGCCTAATTCGTCTCTATGAATATAGCTGATCTGTAGTCTTACAGCCACGGGGATTGACAGTGGCATTTATCAATTCAAGTATTGACGCTTCGAACATCTTGGCCACCAAGCAAATGATGTTGAAACAAGGGTTCTACTGTTAGCAAGATGCAGTATCTTTATATTGTATCATGCTACTGTAGCATGAGAGTTTTCATAGGACGAAACGTGAAGCACTGAATAAATAATTTTTTTAAATCCATCATGTTTCATTTAAAAAAATTTCTTGATAATTTGAAATATACAGGGTGTCCCGTCTAAAACTCCTCAGCTGGATATCTCGAAAACGGAAAAAGATAAATGATTTCTGAAAAATCCACTGTATACTTTCAATGAATGGCTTTATTTGTGAGTACAAATCCCGTTCCTCTCAGTGCAGGTATAGATATCGCTGCAATTCGAAAACATATTTTGTTGACAGCAGTTTTGAAAAGTGGCGTACATGAAAGATCTCTAAATTATAAGCAACTTTTGTGATATAAACAATTTTCGAAAAGCCACTAGTTTCCGAGATACTTGGATTTGAGGTAATTTTCTTACAGGAGAAAGATTTTTTAAAGTTAAGTTTTCGGACATAACTACTGCAGATTTTCGTCGTATTATATTGCTTTAAATAAAACAGTGATAAATTAATTTTATTTAACTAATAGATATCACAGGAAATTACTTCATTTAATCTTGTTTACGCAAATCATAGTCTTTTCGATCAAGATAAAGTAATATTTATTTAACAAAAACTGATGCAAAATTAACAAAAATTACAAATAAACGATACTAAATAATACACGAGTCACAATAAGTGTTCAAAATTGCCGCCATTCTCATGAATACATAAATTCATATATTTTTCTAAGTTCGATATCAGTTGCCCGTAATAAAACATTTTGAGGAATAGATGCACAGCTCGCATAAATCTTATTGCACAAGTCAGCCAAGTCTTCAATTTCTGTTTGGTAAATTAGGTTCTTTAGGTAACCCCACAAGAAAAAATCGAGTGGGGTTAAATCAGGGGTGCAGGCAGGCCACCTTATTGGACCATTGGCGCCTATCCATCGCCCCTGAAAATATTCAAGAAGAAAATTTTGCACCCTCCTTTCATTATGAGCTGGTGCCCCGTCTTGTTGGAACCAGATATTTTGTCTCATAACTAAAGGAACTTCCAAAAGAACATTTAGTTGGGTCTGAAAGAATTGTAAATAATTGCGACCGTTCAAATTTTCCTCATATAAATAGGGTCCAGTTAATATACCATTAATAATACCACACCATACATTTATAGAAAACGTAGTTTGGAAATGTCTGTCTTTGGTCCATCTAAGATTACTATCATGCCAGAAATGACTATTATGTCTATTCATAATGCCATTTTTTTGTAAATCGACTCTCAGTCTATATAATGTTATTTAAAAACTGGTCGTTTTCTTGAGCCTTTATTTCCATTTCTGCAATAAAATTTAGTCTACGTAGCATATCACCAGGACGTAAATTATGTAAAAGATGCACTTTGTAAGGATGATACGTATTTCGCTGCAAGATATTATGGACCGATGTTCCGGAAATCCCCGTTTCTTGTATAGCTCGCACCGATCTATGTGGATTAGTTCCAACCTTACCTAACACCACGGCAGTGTTTCTATCATTTGTAACAGTGTTTCTACAATGCTTCTTTTTGTTAAAAGAACCACAATGAAGCAAATTTGTCTATAAGGACAAAAAGGTTTTATGATCGGGATGTCTAAGGTTTGCGTAACGTACCTGATAATCTTTCTGCTTTTCTGGAATTTCTACGGCATTCACCGCATAATAAAATTATGTCGAGCATTTCTTCATTCATGTATTGGACCATACTGAATAAATGTCAAATTTGTCAAAGTTGAAGGTGTAGACTTGTAGTTATGATAATATATAGCAATATGTAATCAACTTTGACACTTCAAGAAAACAAAAGGACCAAGAAAACGACCAGTTTTTAAATAACATTATATGGACTAACTATGGATATTATTTGCTAATTTTGTTAATCAGTTTTTGTTTAATAAATATTACTTTATCTTGATCGAAAGGACTATATGATTAACAAGATTAAATTAAGTAATTTCCTGTGATATCTATTAGTTAAATAAAATCAATTCATCGCTGTTTTATTCAAAGCAATCTAATATGACGAAAATCTGCAGTAGTTATGTCTGAAAACTTAACTTTAAAAAGTCTTCCTCCTGGAAAAAAAATTACCTCAAATCTAAGTATCTCGGAAACTAGTGGCTTTTCGAAAATTATTTATACCACAAAAGTTGCTTATAATTTAGAGATCTTTCATGTGCGCCACTTTTCAAAACTGCTGTCAACAAAATATGTTTTCGGATTGCAGCGACATCATCTATACCTGCACTGAGAGGAACGGGATTTGTACTCACAAGTAAAGCTATTTATTGAAAGTATACAGTGGATTTTTCAGAAATCATTTATCTTTTTCCGTTTTCGAGATATCCAGCTGGGGAGTTTTAAACGGGTCACCCTGTATATGAAGTATTTTAGAATTTTTATAACTTTTTGCACTACTTTTGTATTTACATTTTATTATTATTATATTATGTACATTTTTCTTGCTTTTATTTTCAAATCTTTTGGACTTAGTATTAAAAAAACAGCTTCATAAAAAAAATAAATCAAACAATTTTATTGCTGTAATAAATTTACAAATTCTAACAATATATTTTTATATTTTTGAAATACAAATTTTATTTTCAATGAAATTTTATCTTTTTACAGTTTTAAAAGCAATTTGTAAAGATACGTTTAGATAAACATAAAATCGATATAATTGATTTTACAAAATGTGTTAAGAATGGCATTCGATGAATCTGCTGATTTATTTTTGTTTAACCTTTTAACATAATCTGTGGATCTGAGAAATAAAGTCTTTAAGAGCAAATATTTAAGAAGATAACCTAGTCTAGAACAACTCGTAATAGAAAATATTCCTAAATTTGGGTAGGTACCCTCCTTCATTTTTGACATGTTATTATGACACCCTGTACAATTCAAAATTTATCTTAAATTGCTTATTTGCAAAACGGCAATTTCGAAATTTTTATTATATTTTTGATTTGCTTGGAAACCTTTCATGATAAAACAACAATAATTCTAGGTTATAATGGTATATCTTTGGTCTAATGTCTAATTATTCAGTATGTTTAAATATTCCCATTATCTCTTAGTGGCAATAGAAACCCTGCTGGCACTTTTATTTTTAAGTTTTAAGTTTTGATTATTTTGAAGAAATAATTATTCTTTGAAATTTTCTTTAAACTGAATTGTGTTTAAGTGACTATAAAATACTCTGCATTTACTGCAAATTACTTTAGCACTTATTGTGTCATTTTTTGTTGGAGTACCTAGATTTTCAAGCTTCCTTTAGCTCTGATACAAATATGCCTGAATTTACACCAAGATATGCATTTATTATTGGGTAACTTTATAAAAACTTTTTCGTTATTAAAACATAGCGATTTTAATAAAATTTATAAATCTCACTTATTTTTACTGCCCTTGCAAGGATGCTGGTAATACCTCAGACACCCTGTATATTATGCAATTTGCACATAAATGCAATATATCAATAGTATCAATACCAGAGTTATTTAGAGATATAGCATAATTTTTTAACGTGTATTAAATACTATAACTGGAAAGCTATTTATGAAATTCTTCATAATTATTAATTATTCAACTTGGGTGCGATGATAACTGACGTCACTGTTAAAATTGAACGTCTATAGGTACATCTAATATTTAGAGGTCGAGTCGAGTCAGATTGTCAGATTAGAGTTGTTTGCTGTTTTGTCTGTGAATTCCCAGAAATACGCATATAACCACACTTTATGTTACCATTTAATTTCGTATTGGGTCAGAGTCAAGAACAGGGAGACTGTATAGTCTCCATGGTCAAGAAGAAGAAGTCAGAATATTTTAACCTCAGTTACCTGCTATATACAGGATGTTTAAATTAGGTTTAAGAGTTATTAGAGCCCCTGACTGGTCTTTGAAAGAAGAAGGTATGCAGTATTAAAGTTTAGAAAATTTTAAATGCATTTCTTTACATTTAGATGGTGGTGAAAATTACACGGGAACTTTGTATCAAGTAAATAATGCTGATAAAACTGCAATTGTACAGTGGGACAATGGAAATCAAACACTATATAAAATTGGGCAAAACGGCACATATGAGTTGCTGATTAGTGATGGGAGATTTCGAGTGAAAAATCGAGTGGTACTCGATTATTGAGATCACTCGAGATATCTCGAGATGTTTACTCCCACCACTCGAGTGATTATTAGCCTACGGTTGCACCCCAAAATGTTAGTGCATACTGTAAATAGTCACTGATTGCGTAACCTTTTTTTTTAGAATAAAACGAAAAAGTGGTTAGGTTTTGAAGTGCGTGAGCTTTTTTTTTTTAGCTACGCTTATAAGTAATATATGACTAATACAAACATATTTGTGCGCCGCTGGGATGAAAACGACCAATATCTCGTATCTCGAGTGATCACTCGATTATTAGAAGTACTCGATTACAAATAACTCGATTATCAAAATTGGTCGATTATGCCCATTACTATTGCTGATTATTGATAATGCGCAAATTGGTAAGAATTAAAATACTAGACACTTTAAATACTAAATATTTAGTAATAAATAATAAATCAATTAATGTAGTAGCGGTTGAAAGTTTTTCCATTAGGAATTGGTAAATTGTACCCTTTTTTAAATATTGATAAAAGATATAATTAGTCAATATGACACATAAAACAATATACTACATCGTCATATTATTTTCTCATTCATAAGATACAATGTGGCTTGCTATTCGGTGCTGCATTTTATGTTCTCCGCTATTCTTCCAAATATAAAGATATGTGTAAGAATAAAACTTGTAGGTATTTTGAAATATTTAAAATTTTTTATTACCCCAGTTGCAAAAATAATTGTAAATCAGTTTACAGTCGAGATACAGATAAAACATTTTTTTGTTGTTTTTAGAAAATCCAAAAAATTTCCTATGACAATCCGTCATCAAAAAGTAATGAAGAAAATATAGAGTAGGTACGTCACTTGATGACAGACCTCCTTATACAACTTATAAGACAAAAACATTGCAATTTTCTGAGTAAATTAACTGCCTAATTTAAAAAATAATTGAAATGAATTGAAGTTTAATTATATTAACATAAATTCAAAATAACTAAGATTTTTTAGTGTAATTTTTTATCTTTTAGGTATTAGACACAAACGCATTCAGTGCAATATATGTTCTTCTGATGGTATAAGAGGTCCAAGGTATAAATGCAATAATTGTAGTAACTATGATTTATGCGATTTATGTTATCTCAGAAGGGAACATAATCCAAGCCATAGTTTTAAAAGAATCGAACCTCCAATAACAAAAGAGTAAGTAAATCATATATTGAGATTAAATTTGAGTAACATTTTTAACGATTCGAGGATATATTTTAGAACAGATCTATCATCTCTGCCTGGATCGAGCAATCAAGAAGGTAGTTATGACAAAAATGATTAATATTAGTAATAAGCAAATAATAAATAATACTTTTTAGGGGTTAATACAAAATAATACTAAAGACCTGAAATCTTAAGTAGTTATTGTTTCTTCAGTCAGTTATATTTCTAATAGTAAATTAAATATTTATAAAATTATTACATTGTGCTTGTGCCATCAAAAAAAATGAATTTGCTTTGTCTTTCAGATACCATGAATATAGGTACTGTGTGCGATGGATGCAATTTTCCAGACATACGTGATGTAAGGTATAAGTGCATTAATTGTTATAATTATAACCTATGTGACTTTTGCTATCGTGGAAATATCCATGATCTGAGTCACAGATTTAGTAGAATCGATTCCCCAAATGGTCCAAGGTAAGAAATATACAAAGAAATTAGAAAGGAAATTTAATTTTTATTTATTTATTTTTCATTTAGAACTGATTTACCACCTCGTCTAACTTCTAGAACGAATCAAGCTCAAGGTAACTTTACAAACTGAATACATAAAATATTGAACAGCAAATATTCTAGAAGTAATGTAGGTATTATTAAAATAGTATATAATGGAAATTCTTTTTTGGAGATTCATAACTCCTAATCCTTTTTGATATTTGGAGTTGTAAAAACTATAAACATCTTCGGATAGTCATAATAGTGTATGCTAACGAATATATTTGACAAATGTAGTAACATATGCTGTTTCTATTTCTGATTCTATTCTATTATTTTTTTGTATGATTTTCCATAATTCATACAATTTTGGCATATTTTTTATAAATGTTTTATTAGCAAGAAGATAAATAAAATGATAACTACAAATTACCATGTGCATTTTAATAATGACATTCCGAATGGGATCAAAAGTAAAAGAAAATATTCTTGAAACTAAATAAAGTGAAATTGAAGGCAATAGTAGACATGTGCAGGAATTTGTAGACTACACATACTACAACATACGACTTCACTCACGAAAAAAGCCTTAAATTTATAAAATCACCCCCAATTGATCATGTGGGTATAAGAAAAAATTTTCTTTTTAATGTGGTAGAAATACTTAAACATAAAAGTATTAAATTACACAAATAAATAATTATAGATAATGTTTTAGGTTCAGTACACGATGGTATTCAATGTGACGAGTGTAAATCTTTAGACATACTTGGAATAAGATACAAGTGTAAAAGTTGTCGAAACTATGATTTATGTGATCCATGCTATCGTGGAAACGCGCATGACCTGAGCCATTGCTTTATTAGAATTGACTCGCCTAACTGTGTAGGGTAAAAGAGAGCTTATAAAGCACTACAGATAGGATGTGATACCACTTTTAATGTTTTATTTTTTTTTTTTAGAATTTACCTACCACCCCGCTTAGTTACAATGACAAAACAGAAACTAGGTAACCCTTATGTGTACAATTTCCAATTTATAAATTATCAATAAAATTTGTTTTTAAGAGCCAGAAACTTAAATATGAAGAAACTTACAAGTTAAAAATTTGTAAAAATAAAAATAGATAATTTCACAAATCATTTGAATGAAATACAAGCTTTTGCAGCCCTCATATTTCGAAATATTTTGTCAACGAAATTTTATTCTGTTTTTCAGGTACTGTTCACAAAAATATTGAATGTAACGCCTGCCATTATATTAACATACGTGGAATAAGATATAAGTGTAAAGATTGCCGTGATTACGACTTATGTGTCTTCTGCTATCATGGTAACAAGCATGACCTGAGCCATAGATTTAGTAGAATTGACTCGCTTAATTGTGTAGGGTAAGGCATATTGTGTAAATACAATAAGAGAATTAAAAATTTTTTTTAGAATTGATTTAATACCTCGCTCCACTTCAAGAAGCAATCAGAAACAAGGTAATAGTAAAGCTCAATTGATTTTCTTTGAAGTTAAATTTTGATGAAGGACAAAAATGTGTTAAAAATCAAATTGATTTTTATTTTTTTTGGTTTTTACTGTGAAAGTGGTTACCATGTTGGGTAGAAGTACACTGATAGAGAAAACAATATTTTAAAGACCTGCAGTTTTTTTTTTAAACTAAAAAAGGTTTGCAGTTACCTCGTTCTTGCCACCTAAACCATGAATTTTTTTTTTATTAATGATAGTAATGAACAGGAAGTTTACTTAACTAAAAGCAAATTTTTATGTACACTGACCAAAACTACATGTAACATGACTGTTTCTATTTAAATATTTTGGAAGCTACCTTATTTTTACACCAAATAAAAGGAGCAAACGTTTTGTTTAAAGAAAACTAAACTTTATTTTAGAAAATAGTGTAAATACATGTTAATAAACTAATTTATAGAAACTCCAAAATTGCATCTCTATTTGAAAACAATGATACTTGCATTCACAATCATTACCAATTTTGCGTACTTCAACTCCTGTAGCTCCCACGTAAACCTTTCCCAAAGCTCTGTTATTTTTTCTTACATTTTGTTTCCAAAGATGTTGAGTAACTTTCTTTTTTTTTTCTAATCCCTCTTTCTGGAACTGCCGCATCTGACTCATTTTCACTACTATTTATTTAATTTACTATTATGGGAGGGTACGTAGTCATCTGATGAGTCTGCATCTTCCTTAAAACTTGAAGACTCATAAGAACTCATTTTTTTTAATATCTAACTCATGTTCATAAAGCACAAATGAAAACACTTATTAGCGAACACAAAGAGTGACTGCAAAATCTGCCTGTTTTTGAGACTTTGACAATTGGCGATAGGAAAAATCCTAAAAATATTCTAAAAATATAAAAAACTCATCATGAAAAATTAAAATGATCAGTTTTTCGAATATTTTCTAAAATCACCCTTATTGAGGGATTGAAAAGACAAAAAGTGAACAAATTAAGAATCATCAACAGTTGTAAAACCCCAAATATTTCTATGTTATCAAAATAATATTTTTTCACATTATTTAGAATTTTTTATATTTAGGAGATGGTTTTACCCCTTGAGAGGGATGATTATTTTTGAAAATGATTGATAATGTATGGGAGTATTTCGAAACATTATTTTTTTCATGCATTATAATTATGTACTTTGAAGCCGATGGTTGAACTTAGGGGTGGTTTTACCCTCATTTAGGGTATTTTCCTTCAGATCTAGTGATTGTGAATTATTAATGGTTCAATTATCACGTATAAAAGAAAAAGAAAAAAAACGTTTAATGTATCTTGCATTTTTAGGCATTTAGACCGTATCACGTACGAAATTAGATATTTGCAGGTTCATATTATTTTGATAACAACATAAAAATATTTGGGATTGATGATTCTTAATTTGTTCACTTTTTTTGTCTTTTCAACCCCTAAATAAGGGTGATTTTCGAAAATTTTCGAAAAACTGAAAGTGATGCTTATTTTCATTTTTCATGAAGAGTATGTGGATATTTTTAGAATATTTTTAGGATTTTTCCTGTCGCCTCTGTCAGTCTCAAAAACAGGCAGAAAAATGGCTTTTTTTTTGCGGTCACTCTTTGTCACTGTCTGGTACAAAAACGAGGCATCTGACATATATCTCGTTTATGCAACCAATATATGAGGATATCTGCACAGTTGCCTTGCTATTGCACCAAATGTTTCGTAGTAAATAGAGATAGCTACAAAAAAAATGTGCATGACCGAAACCAAATAAGGTAGATGTCTAATTTTTTATCCAAACGACAACATTAATATACTTTACCGATTCGTGTAGATTTATTATACATTTCAGATTCTGTACACAGACGTATTCAATGTGACGAGTGTAATATCTTTAATATACGAGGAATAAGATATAAATGTAATATTTGCCGTAATTATGATTTATGTGAAAGATGTTACAATGCAAATAAACATGATGTACATCATAATTTTAAAAGACTTGATTGTCCTAATTCTGTAGGGTAAGTAAATATAAAGCATAATTAAGATCAGACTGAAGTAGCAGCTTTTTTTTTAGAGTTATTTTACCACCCCGTGTAACTTCCAGGAGAGATAATGGGGCAGAGGGTAATTTATTTTATTAAACTGAAAAAACTAATTGTTTAACAATTTTTTCGCTTAAAATTTGAGTCACAGTTAAACGATATGGCTAGTTTATGGTATGGGTAACAAAAAAAATAATGTTATCGGTATAGAGACCGGACAGAAGTTAACGACTGTAGAATCAATCTCTAGGTCCCAGACAGTGAATCCTGTATACTTTTAATTCACTAAAGGCATTTAAAATATTTGTGATATTACAAAAATAATGACACGTCTCACCTATAATGGCGCCACAACCAATTAGATTACACATACCTGTTAACATCAGCTGGTTTGCCAGTGGCATATGGTTGCATATACATTAGATATAAAGGACAAGAGGGGTCTTTCTAATTGTTGACAATGCTCACAGTTTTAGGGGAAGTTAGGGTGTCTGTGGCCAGGGGGCAGTGGGATTGACGCCATCAAATCTAAGAAATGTTGCCTCAGAAAGAGGTAATTCGTTGCTTAAATTGTTATAATAGTGTAACAAAAGTAATAAATGTAATAAACAATAATGATACATACTTAATTAGTTAGATCTGAAGCTTTTTATTGTACAGCTCTCTGGATCCGAACGGCCCACAAATGTCAAAATTTGTAAGCAAGCGTCAGCCCTTACTTTGACTTATCTGTTAGCGTTGTTCAATGATAATACATGAAAATACTTGTAAAATTATTATCAGTACATATATTGAGGCATTGAGGTTCTATGGTTTTATAGTTCGCAACTGTAAACAATTCTCAGATATTGGAGCTATTAAAACATTATATTTTGCTTATGTTCGCTCTAGACTTGAATAGGGTGCGCTGGTATGGTATCCTTATTACAAAACTCAAGAGTGGCATATAAAAAGAATTCAAAAAAAGTTTCTAAAATATTTGGCTTACAAAGTTGACGGGATTTATCCTGAAATGGGTGGAAACTACAACATGTTAACAAGTAGATTTGGCGTTGAAACTCTTGATTCTCGTAGAATTCGCATGTCAATCATATTTTTGTATAAGCTACTGCACAAAACCATTAACTGTGCTGATTTGCTTGCTGCTATTAATTTTTCCGTACCTAGAATAAATCTAAGAAATACTAATACGTTTAGACTTGCAACGCCAAATACTAACATTTTATATAAATCGCCAATTTATGTCATGTGTGATAATTTTAATCGTTTGTGTAACTCTTGTGATATATTTTTTTGTCCATTTCATACTTTATTGAATGCCATAAGGCGAAGAATACTATGTCTTTTGTATGTCCTTTTTTGGATTAAATATGTAATACTGTAATGCAAACACACTTCTATAGGTATATGTCTGCTTATGTGTTTTGCATTTTTTTTTATTTTTTTCTCTTTTTTCTCATGGTCTTTGTTTATGTTTACTTAGTTGTATTATTTTGTAAATTGCCCTGTAAATGGGAACTGTTGGGCAATAAAGCATCATCATTATTATTATTATTATTATTATTATTATTGTTGTTATTATTATTATTATTGTTATTATT